CCCATTGACATACTAATGAGTTTATATTTGTTAAAAATGTTCTTCTTTTTAATTATTGTATTGTTTTTAAGTGAATTTTTTGTACTACAAATAAGATATATGCAGTGTGCATAGGAATTCATTCATGTTTTTTTCAAATTATAATCCGGCCCTCCAACAGTTTGAGGGACTGTGACCTGGCCCTCTGTTTAAAAAGTTTGATGACCCCTGCCCTAATCTCTGTGCCCTTTCCTTGCTGTAATGTACCTTTCCCAGCCACCATGTATCTTTCCTCTTTTCTTCTCTTTCCGGATAGCTGGTTCCCCCATTAGAAAGCTACTGATAGTTTAAGCTCTCTCTGCTCATTATATTTCTCTCTTGCCACCCTCCCTATCTCAGAGCACACTCTCTGGCCTCTTTTGGGACCTAACTCAACCCAGGGATTCTGAAGATTATGTTTTCCAAGCCTGAGAAACTATGTCTCCCAGGACTGCTGTTAAAAAGAACTCTACCTGCTGAATCATCATATGTTCTAAGATTGTTTTCCTTATCTGTTCCCATCCTTGCAATGTGTAACCTTCCTGCCTTTTTATTCTAAAGTCCCCCTAAAAGCCCATTCTGCATGCTTCCCTTTCCCAGTATGGAAGTGTATTATTTCTATGTTTTCTCCCTTCCTCATGCCTTGATCTTCATACAAGGGAGCCCGGCTTGGATATCTGTATGTACTTGGGAAAACTGTGTCTCTCATGTGCATGAAAAATGCCTTAAAAATTCCCTGCTTTTTCTATGTGTTCCTATGTTTTGTTAATAATATATTTTGTGCTTCTGAGATTTCCTGTTCCTTTAACTGGATGGGAAAGTCCTGCTTCTCAGATGATCATACAGCCTACGAGAAGAGACTCCAAGCTTGGGATTCCTAGCCTCACCCATCTTATGAACATTATCTGGACATATGTAACACAATAGCCCAACGGACAGGACAAAATGGCCCATTGCCTTTTTCCTGCCTGCCTCAGGGGAAGTTGGTACTCTTCACAATGCGCCTTTGTGTGTGAGACCCCTCACCATGGAAGGAACCCGATTGTCTTCTTCTATGTCCCTCTCCTCTGCTATTTACATGATTGTGCCAGTATGTTCTACTTTGAGTTGCCATGATCTAGGGCTAATGCCCTGGGTCAGCTCCCCCCCCCCCCCCGGGTGGGGCTCTGCCATGACCATCCTGCTCACAATAAACTTTCCTGGATAGGGCCAAGTGCCCTCAATAATTTTTATTAATTTTCCTGTTAGATAAAGGGAAACCCATTCACTGCCACTCAATGCTTTTTGTCTCTTCACAAGCCAACTGCTCAGCAAAGCCCCCTTTCTGTGATTGGTCAGAATTTGGAGACTCGTTCAATGGGCTTTGCTACAACTGATTTTGTAGCAGTGGGAAATTTGAAAATATTGTGTATATCAAGAGACTGTATCCATATCTGTTATTCTAGCTTCTTTGTGAATGTATCACAAGCTAGGATCTTACCTGCAGATAATAAACTCTTCCTTGGCTGAAATCACCTTCTCACCTTGCTGGGTTACTTTAATTGGGGCTGATCTGTATGCTTGCCACAGCAGGGACTCACAAGGGGCAGCTCAGACTTATCACTAGCCTGGGTTTCTGCCAACAGGCTTCTTCTGGTCTCACTGCCAGGGATTACCTCCTAAACTGGGGCCAACATCAGCACTCACATGTCGTGGACTCCACTTTTTGGCCCCATTTCTCTGCATCCTGTGGTGCCAGAGCGCTGCCTGTTCAGCGCCTTCCAAGACGCCCAGTGTGCCCAAGGGGGACTTTCATCCGGTATCAGCCATGGATTGAGGTTCCAGGTTTTAGCCTGCCATTTTTGGACTCTCACTTGCTGAGGTATTCTTGTGAGTAGATGTTAGAAATCTATTTCTTGATTTAAGACATTGAAAATGACTTGAAGGCACACAAGAACAAGAACAAATTCAGCACCAGCACCTTGAAGCTAATTGGAAGTAATTCTTGAAAAAACGGCGTTATGTGGTCACTTAAAGACATATCTGACACCAGTTTGGCTGCTGCATTTTTCACCAGCTACACATTTTGAATACTTTCCAAGGACAGCCTTACATAGAGTACATGATCAATAGTCTGATTGGGCAGTAACTAAGGCATGACCCATTGGGGGCACAGATGCCTCTCCTAAGGAAGATCACTGCTGGTGCACCAGCCAAAACCAGGCAGAGGTGCTCCTGACCTGAGGCAACCTAGCTTTCTAGCACCTGGCTCCAACAGCACCCCAGAGCTACTAACCTGATATTTCAGAGGCAGTGCAATCCTATGCAGATCAGGCTGCAATCCCAATCCTAGGTTGTTTTTACTACTTATCAGCAGCAATTTCCATCTTGTTTGGATTAAGCCATAATCTATTCATCCGTGTCCAGTCCTTTTTTCAATCGAGGCAATGGTTCAGTACTACCATAGCCTCCTTGATATCAATTGTACAGAAGCATCTATTGTGTTGCCACATCTGTTGTATTTGCTTCTAAGCTGTTCTTTTTTTTAGTTCCACTGAACTGAAAGTTTAGAGTTGGAGGAAATGGTATTTTGTTGAACACTGTAATTTGACTGCTGTGGTGTTGTCACTTTCCGATGTATAATCATGACCTCAACAGTTGTTACATTTACTTTTTCTAAACTTGCCATTTTTGTGGCCTGACTCTTGTGCCAAAATACATTTCTGAAATCCACAACCAGTCATGCCAGTTCAAAATAAAATTTGATGTTGGTAACAAAAAGAAATGCAGTTTAATTCAGAAAAATAAAGCTAGACATCACTGAAAAATCCTATGAATTGTACTCCACTAAATGATACATTTGGTTGGAGTTAACTTTGAATAAACAAGATAGCTTGAATCTTTGCTGTTATTTGTCTTCAAATCCACTTCAGGAGCCCTGGTCAGCCGCTCTGCTCAGCTTTTGCAAACCCAGGGCTGTAACTTCCTTGATTGAATTATTCCATCTGTAATTCAGTCTTCCTCTTTTCTATTGCCTTCCCACCTTTCCAAGCATTATCGTCTTTTCCAGTGATCTACATTACATTATGAAGTACTTTGGCCACATCATGAGAAGAAAGGAAAGCTTAGAGAAGACAATGATTCTGGGGGAAATGGAAGGGAAAAGGAAGAGTGGCCGACCAAGGGCAAGATGGATGGATGGGATCCTTGAAGTGACTGGATTGACCTTGAAGGAGCTGGGGGTGGTGACGGCCGACAGGGAGCTCTGGCGTGGGCTGGTCCATGAGGTCACCAAGAGTTGGAAACGACTCAATGAATGGACAACAACAAAGCACATTATCTTATGATGTGTCCAAGGTCACTTTAACCTCTTGTGATGTACTTTCAGTCCATATCTACAGAACTCTTCTTTTTAAATAGGTTATTTGTTTTCTCTTAATCATGGTCCCACTTTCACAGCCACAAACAAAAACTATGGCACTGCTGATTATGACACAGGCATTTATTGATATGCATTTGCACTTGAGTACCTTATGTGCTTCTTTCAGTTACCCTTACAAGTCCTCACCTTCTTCTGAGTTTGTGATTACAGTCTCCAATTTTATGATTGTGTTCACTCCCTTGCTAACTAGGACCCATTGACATGGGTCATGTTTTAGACTATGAGAAATCAATATAGTAGAAACAGGTATTAATGCAGAATAATAGCTAATTGGGAAGACTGTTTCAAAACATTTGAAGAACTTCTGGCACTATTCATATCCTAGCCACTGGTCTGAAGAAGTTCTGTAGCTCAGGTACTCTAACAGTATCAGAGATTCCTCAAGTGCATTTATTTCTGCACAAAGTGGAGCCATTCTTGGGAATAGAAGCATTTCCTATATTAGACTTACACAGGATGATCAAATGCACAACTGGAGCTACCAGTCAATGCTCAGTGGAATTTTCACAGACATCAACAACTATTGAGATCGGCTAAAGCAGTTAATCCAGCATAAAACCATCTGAAAACAGAGGCAAGCCATATGTGATGCTCCTCCATATTTCTCCTTTCTGGCTTACGGAAATGAAACATCTATTTTGAATCAGTCACAGTCCTGGATATCTCAATTTTTCACCATGAAACAGAGCACTGGAAAGGAGCACAGACCGTGGAGTCTATGGGCAGCCATGCAGTATGTCTTAGTAGTGCTCCCAAGGGCACTGATTTAACAGAACTGGAAATCTACATCTATACAATACATGGAGGATAACAGGGAATCCTTCAGACTTGATTTTAAAACAACAGACCTCACAACCTCTGAGGATGCCTGTCATAGATGTCAGTGAATCATCAGGAGAGAATGCTTCTGGAACATGGCCATACCGCCCGGAAAACTCTTAGCAACCCAAACAAAAATAGTATTTAGCAGAAGACAGGGAAGTAATTAAATGCTTGGGCATGGATACAAATTCCCCAAACTATTTATTTAATCACTGTAGAACTGTGGAAATAGAAAAGCTGTTCCCAGTAGTTACCTCCCCATCCCCCTTTCTTTTTATTTTGACTCTCGTACATTTGTTTTTTTGGCTTGTTTTGTATTGCTGAAATATGTTGTAGATATGGGTTGCTGATAGACAGCTAGGGTTACTGTTGAGGCTGGAGATCAGGTTGGAAAGCTTGATTGGCGTTAATTCTCTATATTTAAAAATTTTTTTTTAAAAGCCATTAAAATAAAAGACGGGAAGCATAATACAACATGCTCTTGAGTTTATCGCCAGTCAGCAGAAATTTGGCAAAGCCCTTTTTCATCACAACTAATCCTTTGTTATTTTAAGATGCACCACTTGCTTTGTCAGACAACTTTTCCTTTTCAAAAGCCTACCTCCCCCCAAATCTGCTACTTCATCACAAACTCAAAATACCATAAAATGAACATACTGTTTCTATAGGAAGAAAGAACATTCCTGAATAGCACACGTTCAATCTTTCTGGGAACTCAAAAGAATAAAATAATGTGGACTTTTTTTTTTGCATCATTTCATTGTTATTTTATTAAATATTTTCAGTTCAAGGTTTCATTATAACAAAGCTATGAAGGGTCTACCAACATTCAGGAAATAAAGACCTAACTTGATTTCAATTATTTCTCTATCATGCAAAATTTTTGCATCAAACGTCTTCCATTTCCTGTTTAAAACTTGATATATTATATAGATGCTTACATTAACCCATAAGAGAACATTAAGAATGCTAAACGTCTATAGCTGTATTTGATAATGTGGCCATACCAAGCTAAGGTTCTTATTAATTAGAACAGGTCTTAAAGACTGTGCAAAAACAAAGACAAAAAATCCAACTCAAACTGTTCCAAAAATATTTTGAAAGATGCAGATACTTAATACAGAGGGTTTCTTATTAATAATTTTCAGATAAATAGACAAGGAAAGATCAGACCTAGAAGCATGCAGAATTTTGCCTTTTTTTAAAAAGCTGCATAACTAATTTCCTGTTCCCCACGTTATTGTTAAAAACCTGAATAAAATTATCAAGGCTTTTCTTGGTTACCTCTCTCACTAGCTTGGTACTGTCTACGGATGTTCTATATTCAAAGTTTAGCATCTGTCTCTCTCTCTCTTTCTTTCTCTCTCCCACACACACACACAGAACTCCCCCTACCCACATCTCCCTTCCATATAACTCTCTTATTGAAGCTGAAAGAGGAAGGAGGAGGATTTGCACAAACAATCTTTTGCAAAGAGCGAGTGCCCTTTTTTACACTGGAAATAAGCTGTGATAAGTGCTGTGGGCTTGAGCTAATAGTATCTCATTCACAGGAATAGGAACTGGGATGTCTCCTGCAAAATAGAATTATTTTTTTTTGCCTAAATTACATTAAAAGTTTGCCTTCACTAAATATTCTGATTTAGGCAGCAAAGGCATTCTAAAATTCAGTTAGTGGACATGCAAAATCCCACTCCCTCAAAGTTGGGATATATAGAAAGCAAGGGGGTAAACTTCTGCTTGAAAGTCTACTACGAAGCCTTCTATCTCCAATAAGAAACAGGATAAAGCAATGTCCAAAATCTAAAACCCCAACTTTTCCCATGTAGGAAATAAAGAACATCAATTAATTCTAGCAGGGGAGACCAAGATAGTTGATGCTAAATGGCAATCCTCCTGTTTAGGTGAGGTACATAAGATTTCTACTCTACCAGAGAAAACTTCAACAGGTTAAGTAGAACCTTCTTCTTATAGGTTCTAATCCAATGATTTACCAAATAAATATACCATTATAGATCAGGAAGGGAATTTTTAAAAATCAGTGGGACAAACAGGACTTAAAGCAATGTTAGAGGGACTGGACTAGTGGAAAAAGCACTTGCCTGAAGTTGCTGGTTCCCTTTGCTAGTTTCATCAGAAAAAAACTGGGAAACCAGCTAGCCCTATCATTATGGGGGTGCACATGTGTATGTATGCATGTGTGTATACACACACAAACACACAAATATATATGTATGTTAAAAAAAACACAAACTAAGTTACACACCATACAAGAAGCAAACACATGTGTGTGCAAATCATCAGGGCAGAATGTAACACAACGGTTTTCAACTGTTTCCTAAGGAGCACATATTCTGCAGCACTCTGGATCCCATCTATTCTAAGCAGAAAATAAAATAAAATAAAAGCCATTCATGTACTTTCTTTCCCTTGTCATTTGCTCTTAAACTTCACCCTTATAAGTTGACTTCACACCCCCCGAGGAGTGGCTGTTTGTACAAACCAGTGCATCTCTGAAGAGCAAACTCCTATGCTATTTAAAACCAGCTTTTGCTTGTTCCTTGAAAACATTCTTGTTCATTTTTACGCAGTCCGTCAGTGGGAGCAAGTGGCCAAGCAGTTTGCTGACTGCTGCATCTCCACCACTGACACTTGGGCTCAAATCAGTCTGCTGGATGGCAGAGGGCTGAAAAAATGTCCTCATTCCATCTTGCCCCCCCTTTTCTCCATGCTGACCTGTAGGGGCAGGGGGCTCCACCAGCCACATCTCACCGGTTAAATTTGCAGCACAACCTGAACACAAGGTGAGTTCCCACTCTGCCTCCACGGAGCACAGATTTCAGAATTCTGCTGCCTAAGCTGCTCCCTCCCCTCTTCCTTTGCTCTGGTTCTGAAAGATGCTCCACAGCTGCTGCCCCATCATCTGCCTTGGAGAGGAGGCATGGGACACTCCATCATGGATGATCTCTTTTCTATACAAACAATATGGGTTTCTCTCGAGATTTATAAGACACCTTCATACAGCAGAAACAGACACGATGGATCCATGGAAAAACAACAGAAAGATGGCAGCGCCTGGAGCATCAGATTCATGCAGGGTTTCGTGCATTTGGCTGCTGCCGGTTTGTAATTCATATTTTTTTAAACGTCAAAACGGACATGACCATTGCTGTAATTCAGGCACTCCAGAGCTGCTTGCTGAGAACATATTGCCCTCCTGCTGAGTATCTCCGAAAGCTGCTGCAATCAGAAAGGGGACAAATAAGAAGGGAATGTCAGGTTAGAGGAACAGTTTTCATTGGGAGATTTGCAAATACCCATTAACTACATAACTCTAGTTGTGTTCACTCAGCATTGAAGTTAAATGTAGATGTTAAACCAAGTAGCCTCTACAGCAGGATAAAAGGCCAGTTAGCAAACTCTGGTTACAAGACACAGTCTGCCCAGGATTAACCATACGTGATAGTAGGAATGGTGCAATCTTCAACCATAGTAAAATGTCAGTGGGGAAAAGAGAAAGGAAAATTAATTTCATAAGAGCAGGAATGACTTGGATGGAAAAGGACTGTATGATTTTGCAAGTGCTCCAAGTGAGTAAGAATTAACCCAGAATTGCACCTGTTCCATTCCAAGTATGTCAGTTTCTACCCCAGGGAAAACTGTTGGTCCTTTCCTTTTGGTTTATTAATGTTGCTCAACTTGAGTGAAATTATTGTTACCCCCACACCTTTTTCAGTGCAGATTTCAAACATATAGATGTAAATGGAATTGACAAAAGCTAGTTCCCTCTCTGCAATGCATCTCGTACCTGTGTGAATATAGACCTCTAGTCCACACGAATGAAAATATGGCCGTGGCCTCAGCATTACTACACCATTGCCTTGAAACTACACGAGAACGAGAGCAACTGGTCTCACAAATCCCTCTTATAGTACAGAGGCAACGGGGATGTCAGGAGGGGAGAGGCTGACTACCCACAAAATATTACTACTACCACATCAGCTCTAGATTATTAAATATGGTTTTCTGTGGGCGAGCAGATGGAGACTACTGGATGGCATATGTTCTGTATCAGAAACTAGAGCTGATGTGGTCTATCAAATGCAATTTTCTGAATTTCATAACTTGAAGCTATGAGAGATTTCTCTAAAATTCAACTTTCCAACACTCTTGAGGGCTTGTTCTTGGTCCCATCACGATCACAAGTATATTTGGTGTAGATATGGAAGACAGCCTTCTTGGCCATTGCTCCTAGGTTTTGAAATTATCTCCCATGGGAGATTCATTTCCCCATGTACCTACTTTCTTTCTGCTGATAGGCAAAAACCCTTTTATTTAAGAAGATCTTAGGTTTTAACTTATGTGGTGGAAGGATCTTTTAAATGGAGTATAGTGTGATTTTATCTTTTTTTCTTCTGTTTTAAACTGTTTTACTACATGTTTTGAATAAAATTGTTTGTTTTTTTAACTTTAGTACCATTTTTCGCTATAGTTTATTTTAATCTATTCTTGGTATTGTGCTGTGAGAAAGGCAGATTATTAAATACACACAAACGTAAATACAGAAAGCTATCAATGTAAATTTCATTAAGTCATTATGTACTTTGTTCGTGAAGATTTTGAAAAAAGTATCAAATATCAAATTTTGCTTAAGTAACTTTCCATCTAATTCCTAAGGTGCATAATGCAGGAATAGGAGAAATGTTACCAAATGAATTCCTATTCTTGTATTTTAAGAGGGCATTCACTTCCTTGGTTCTGGCCAAAGAAATCTCTTTATTTGGCCATGACTGTTGACATTTAATTTGCAAGTCTCCTTCACAAACTCCTGGGCATATCTTTTTTTTACCAAATGTATCTCTGTCTTATATATACCCCATCCTCTTTGTATCTGTGGGTTTTCCTGGCCAGACATACCCATGTTTCAGCTTCACTGGAGCGGAGCTGCTGGAGCCCCAGAACAGTGGTAGTGGACATTCAGCCACTTGCCATCACGGCGGTGCCAGACACGGGTCTCTTCAGACTGCATGGTGCGGGGACGGCCTTGGCCATCAATATACTGTGTCAAGCGGATGTAGGCAATGCAGGCAGCATCATCGCCAATAACATGAACATGCGGGTTCAGGATGGTGGTGTGGATTGGCTTGCTGTTCTTGGATAGTACTGAGGACACATGAAAAAGAGTTAGGTTTGCCACTTTCCTCTTGTCAAGAGAAACTGTCTTTACCCATTAGTGCCTATTAGCAACTGCTTTCTCTCCACTGTTTCAACACATCCATCTATTTTAGCTTTCATTTCCCTATAGCCTACTCCCTCCAAGTTTATTTACATAATTACATTTAGGTGCTTCCTCTACTATATTTATTTATTTTATTTATTTACTTTATTTGTATACCGCTCTTCTCAGCCATAAGGCGACTCGGAGCGGTTAACAACAAACAGCAGCAAAAATTCAATGCAAACATCATACAAAGCATTTAAAAAATAATTGATACAATAGTACACTAAGCAATTAACATCAATAACCATCAATAAACAACTCACTATAGGAAAAGAAGAATTGGTTTTATTACATAATGGGATAGCACATCATAAAGTCTCTTGGAGTAAGTTTTCTCAACACATACCCTCCAAATATTTTAGGTTTCAATTCTCATCACCACAGCTATGTATGGCCATTTGTTTGTGTGTCAGGAGCGACTACAGAAACAGCAAGTCACTTCTGGTGTGGGAGAATTGGCCATCTGCAAGGATGCTGCCTAGGGTGGCGCAGTGGGTTAGACCCTTGTGACAGCAGGCCTGAAGTCTGACAGGTCGCAGGTTTGAATCCGGGGAGAGCGCAGATGAGCTTTCTCCGTCAGCTCCAGCTCCCCATGCAGGGACATGAGAGAAGCTTCCCACAAGGATGGTAAAACATCAAAACATCCGGGCATCCCCTGGGCAACATGTATGGCCATGCAAGTAGTCCCGGGAGAGTGGGGTAACATTTTCCTACTGTGAATGCTGAAAGGTGATTCTCAGCATTTCTCAAAATTGGTTATGTTGATTAGGGCTGCTGGAAATTGTATTGTAACAACACCTGAAGGGCTGCATGACTCACACGTGCCCAAAATATGTGAAGATCAAGGGAAAAGGTCCTTTACCTCTAAACAATAACAGAGCTTTGCTGCCAAGAAGTATAATATCTAGTTTTAAAAAAAGCCTTGTAAATGTTTAAGCTTGTGAATGGCTTGTGTATAGATATTTTTCAAGTGATGGATTGATACACTAGCAGCTTTGCAGTCTCAGTTACTATTTCCACACTTGTTTAGGTTTTCCTTTGCACAATGATGTTTTACTTGCCACTTCTATGGATAATGTAATAGATAAAAATGGAGCAATATGCAGGGATAGATAGTATAGCAATCTTGACATAATTTTACCATATCCTCAACTAATTTAGCTTCCTTATATTCCAAGGTTTTTTTAAAAGTTTCAAAGATAATACTATTTTCTTGAGAAAAAAAGAAAGCTGTATTTATGCTCTATGGACAATGATATACTTCCTAAAAACAACAATACTACTCAATAATTTTGTAACAAACTGTAAGCTCTAAGTTTCCCACATACAGGCATGTAGCCGGGGGGGGGGGGGGGGGGGGGGGGGGGGGGGGGCTTGAGGGGCTTCCGCCCCCCCCCCCCCGAAATTCTCATGGTGGTCCACGAGAAGGCCTTACTGGTGCATTATTTAAACTGTTATGTTTATTCATATCATGATCTGATCACCATGCTCAATATATCCCATATGCATGGGGGTATTGGGGTAACGATACAAAAGGTTTGCTAGGGTAGACCCTCTTTCACTCAGACTCAGCCCCCCTCCCCCGAATCAAACTCAGCTCCCCCTGAATCAAAATCCTGGCTACAGGCCTGTCCACATATTTGAAGTTATGACGCAATAAAAATGTTGTGAGATGCCCTGAAGAAACTTAGGATGCTAACAAAATCTGAAAAATTTCGAAGTCAAAGTTCATTAAGATAGATCTGGATTCAAACAAAAACAACGGAAGACTGATCTGAATTCTACTTCTTGAAAAGTTTCAGAAGTGATTCTGAGGGACAGTCATGGTGCATTATAAAAAACATTTATTTGAGACAAACCACTGTTCACAATATACCTCTACCATCACCCTGAAAAATTGTCCCTAATACTTCAACTCAAAGTGATCACAGATAGTGTGGAGAAGAGGAAAATAAAGTCCTACCTAAAACTCCCAGAAACACCAACTGAAAAAAGAAGTGGGAATGATCCCTGCTATCAGTGATGGAAGAGTGGGAACTCCCCTTCCAAGCTAGGAATAGGAGGAGCTTTTTGTTAGGGCAATACATGGACCCCTGGCCCTTGGTGGGGCAGCTGACGCTTCCAGGGTAAGGTTTCCCCTTCCCTGCGTCAATACATTACTTCTGCCAACAAAAACAAGACTAGGTAAGTGATAACTTCACACTTGGGGAAAAAAATCAGATGAGAATTTTGGGAGCAACCTAAATCCAAAACATATGTGATCACTATACTAAAGTTGCAATACATAAATGGTGCAAAGCCACTGGCATTTATTCCAAAATTCGTCTTCCAAAGCCAAGAAAAACTACAGTTCGTTTCTCCCTAGGCAGATAGGGTGAGGGGGCATTTTTAAATCACTCACAGTTCTCAAAGTAAAATTTGTGGAAGTCCATCCCTTCCACGAGATTTCCCAGTGCTTCAGGTTCAAATGAGGTCAGCCCAGGGTCACAGATCTTCCTAAAACAAACAAAGGAATCCACTTTCATCAGTATCTAAACCCTTCAGGTCTTTCATAGACATTTATAATTTTGATGCAAAAAATGTCTCTAAGTGCCTCCTTAATGAGGGACGGAAAATTTATAAGCCTGTATTTCAAGTCACATGCAACAAGTTTTAGAGCCTGCTGTTGCTTAGGGGAAAAAACCTTGGGGCAGGAAACACTGTATCTTTCATTCCCAACTGCAAAGTAATCTACCATTTTTGCTGTTTATTCTCACATAACTATATATTATGAGGTTTGGTTTCAAGGTTCCCTCATGGATCACAAAATCTGTGCTCAAATCCCATTATATCTAATGGCCTAGGAAAACACTCTCCCTTATATAAAATGGCAAAATCAAGATTTGATTTTTGAACTTAGAAAAAAAAATTCAACAGTGGACGGTTGAATCTGTGGATATGGAGGACCAATATTGAATCTTTATTTTACAGAATAAAGATTCAATTTTTATGATTCCACAGAATTAAGCCATGCCAGTTAAAGTGTGGTCAAATAATTAATTCTACAGTGTAGCTGCACCCTGAGCAACTCTTTCAAAATGACTTGGCATATTCTAAGGCAGTGGTTTTCAACCTGTGGGTCTCTTGATGTTTTGTCCTTCAAATCCCAGAATTCCTAACAGGTAAACTGGCTGGGATTTCTGGAAGTTGTAGGTCAAAACACCTGGGGACTCACAGGTTGAGAACCGCTGTTCTATGGACAGAACTCTGCCCCGAGACTAAAAAAAGTATTAAACTCTCTGTCCAAATAGACTGCTCTCAGTTGCCAGTCAGCTAGATGTTGCCATCCCAGATCTGGAGATAAAATAGGATGTTGACTGAAATGGCTGGACTGAACAGAAGCTGAAGTGGCTTGTGGTTCAAGAGCACAAATGGATGGAAGAATTAAAGCCTACAAGGCCAATGGAGAACTATGAGTACAACTTTAAATAACAAAAGTTTAAGAATTTAAGTCAAGGGACAACAAATGAATCAATATATGACCTTTTCTGGGCAAGGCAATAAGAAAGAACTGAGGAGGAGCAAGGGATCTAATAGGAAATACTTCCAAAACAGCTGCCTCACCTGGGCAGTGATTGAAATTAACCCTTTCTTGGATAGGTTGTAAAGAGCAAGTGGTCAGCAAAAGTTCACTGAAATGTTATGCAGAAAACAGACACCAACTGTTGATTTGAGCACCTCTGGTAAAAGGCTGGTTTGCATATGTGCACGGGCATGCACATGCTGATATGCAATGAAAATACTATGACGACTGGTATTCAATTTTCTATAGTAATCATAATTGTTTGAATATATCCATCTATAAATTACAGATTCATATTCAAAACAACTGGGAACATGTTCTCTTTCTGACCGAGCTAAATGATAAATTAACTCTTCATAGTAAGGTTGTCATCCACGGGTCCACTGACAATGGGAAATATAGAGGCAACTGCATGGACACACTTATTATATATGTGGCAGCTTGTACCGAAAGTTACTTTATAATTTGTTCCCATGTTAAAAAATGTGATCAGCCATGTTAAAAAATGTGATCAGTTATCAAATATCAGATAAATCAGAGAAATGCTGAGAGAGGCCTAGCTGTAAAGGGAATAATAGAACCTCAGAATAGAGAAACAAATCATGGAATATGAATTCGATGTGCAAAGAAAGCTGGTTTATCAGGGATAAATATATACAGGCTATAAATCTTGGCCCACCCATATTAATTTTCTATGTGCAGGAATATTTTTGTACTAAAGAAGTATATGATAATATGTGTTCCGTCCGCTGCCTGAACTGTGAACTGGAACCATACAATGTTTATTTAACGTGTGCATAAGTGTTTAATGTTTATGTCAGCTATGCTGCACTTGGTAAAGCTAGTTTGCATCTGAGGCTCACTGAAATCACAGCAAGAAGCAAGACTTGTCCCGGCCTTCCTAGTGTTCAGAGACAAGGTGGGCAAAAATAAGTATGAATTTAGTAATTTTATAGACATTAAAATTATATATTCATTTTTCTTGCTCTGCATTGAATTGTACTGGTGAGTTTTCTTTCTGGTACTCAACCTTCTTTGGCTATGCTTACCTGATCATCTGGAGCTATTATGAAAGCACTTCTTTACTTACGTGTAAGCCTCAAAATCTCCATTGTTGATTGCTTCAATCAGCTGCTCTGTTATCTTGATTATCTCTTGTTTACGCACTGAGAAGAAGAATACAGAAGGTAGCTTTACTCTACATTGAATTATGAAAAGCAGGCCATAAACAGTACCTCCTCCAGAAGAATCAACAAAGCTACCACTTGCTTTGATCCCAGTGGTGACTGCTTTGTTGCATTTCAGAAGAGCAGTAATGACAGCTATCAATTTGAATGGATGGAGTCTGGTAGATGGAAGGAATATAGGAAGAAAGGAAAGACAGCAAGTCTAATAGCAGAACTAATATGTGGAAGAAACTCTACCGGAGTACTACACCTAAGGCTCAGTTCTTGTAATCTGTATAGGATTTGTGAAATGGCTACTGTGAAACCGCCATGATGGTGCCTCTGTGATGGGAAAGTTCAACTCTAGGGTGGAGACGTTAAGAAAAGAGATAGACCTAATGTAGACATAATGATACTGACCTCTCAGTTGCAGTTACAATACTGAGAGCAAGACTCGTGAGTTTCATCTCCTTCTCTGTAATGTCTTTCCTCTCCCTTTCTCTCCCTGTCATTTAGTACAACATCTCCTATGTCCATTTTAACATACAATGTTTAATATAAACACTGATTTCACAGGTTTGTATTCCCCATGCTTTGCATGTATGCAATGCAAACTGTTGCTATATCACTGGAAGGAATCACTTCAGATAGAGCAAGAGAGCGGATGGTGGTGCCCATGGTCCTGATTTGCATTCCGTGATGTAGGGTGAGAAATGGCATTATTTTTGTATTCACTGTGACAATGTCTCTCACTTTTTACCAGTCTTCTTATTAATTACTCCATAAAAATAAAGAACGACAGGATTCTGCAAAATCCCTGAAGACAGAAGGACATATTTACTTATTTATATAAAGAAATGAGCTACGATGGCCACTTGACAGCTGAAATAACTGCTTTGATTACAGCCCCTCTGCTCATTAGTCTCAGATTGACATATTCCAATCTCTAATTTGATAATTTAAGAAAAAGTTATCGATGTATTTATTGACCTGCTGCCAAGTCGTTATTAACTGCTTCTTCTTCCCTGTATTTTTAATCCCTTCCTCAGCCACCAACAATTACTCTCACACATACTGCTTGTAGGAAAGACTACATATTATTTTGATTTACTAATGATATTTTTTTAGAAGTAGCTTTGTGAGCCTATAAAAGCAAGAACTTAGCCATAACTGCTATGGTTTCACTAGAATAAGTCTGTGCAATAGCTGAGGTTGAACCAAATTGAATGCAGACAGAATGATTCACAAAGTGTTCGAAAGCCTTTTTTTAGGCTTTAGGCTGTATGCTGAACATGGCTCCCAGTGGACAAAAATGAGGAACTTCCACTTCACAACATCTGTTTTTTTTAAGGTAGAAAGAGAATACATCATTGCTAAGAGGGTTTTCTACAAGCAGAATGGTAACAGGGACTTAGGAATGGCCACACTTTTTAGCTTTTGAACTCCTAGGCTATCTACCAAGGAGGATTATTGAACTCCTCATCTAGCTATACAGAAAAATATGCACCGTATTTGATTTTATGGCTCACCAATGATCTGAATCTTTTCTTCCCATTTGGAACTGACTGGATCCCCCATTTCTCCAGCTTTACAAATGTATGTCCAAGTTAGTTTTCACCTTGAAACAGAACTCAAACCAAATCCTCATCTATACAATTTATTTGAGGGGGAAAAGGAACACATATACAGACATGATGCATGGATGGCGAAAAGAAACGCACATGGAAATTTTTCATTATCAGATAGAAGTTTTCATATGGAAAACAACTTTTGTATTCCTATCCCCATTTTTGGTCAAAAGAGGTCACCCTGATGCAAGTTTTCTTATAGTACATGACATATACAGCCACCAAGAACAAAATACAACTATTAAGACAAACTGCACGATCACTGAACACATATCTGTAAAGCAGATGTGAACACAACTTCATTCTCTCCCAATACTTTCTTCTGCCAGTACAAAACGAACAGCTCTGCCACTGAATCAATATTCAATAAGAACTTAGCAAGCCTTTTGAACTTTTTAATGTTATATTCCTATACAGATTACTCCCCCTAGTGATTATGATGGGACATTTTTTCACCAATAAGAAATATACTGGACGGATCTACACTGATCCACTAAACTGGGGCTGATCTGGTGTGGGATGGTCAGACACGTAACTCAGCCGCTGCTGAGCCAGGAGAAATTTCCAATTGTCCAGTGGTGCCAAATGTGGTTTGGCTGAAACATGGAGGAAGGAGACAATAAGTGCCATCTCATGTCCTTAAGCTACCTGAACCCGGGAAACATAAGATGGAAGTGAAAACAGTTATGTCCGGTTCCATTCTATTCAGAGAGGCCCAAAGTCAGGGAATAGTCTGGGCCAGAAATCATCCCGTGCTTCAGGTTAATGTGGAGCAAGGCCACTTTAAGGTGGCTTTGCCCCACACTGCCTTCAATCAGCTTTGGACAGTGTTTGACCACCATGAAGCTGATCTAGGGCCATCTAACCTGAGTGGTCAGAGTAGATGTGCCTGTTGTCACTGTAACAATAAGTGGGACTATAGATCATCGGGCAGAATCATCACCTGCGATGTCTTCCAAAATGGCAGGTTCAGCATCATCCCCAATTAAGTCAACCAAAGTTGATTGGTGTTGTAATATCAATGATGGCTAGCCAAATCAAAGAGGATTAAAATAAAGGTAGACCGATGATAGGCATCTTTGTAACTCTGACTATGACATTCAACATGCAGAAACTGTAAGAGACAAACATTACTGAGGCTGCTCCCATAAGTGCAATACCATATATGAAGGTAACACAACCAGTTTCCCCCAAGCATACCTGGATAAAGCTTAAATTAACATACCTATATCTAGTTCTTTGCACCTAAGGTTACAGAACAAGGGAACGGGCTACAAAAAACTATCACATGAGATTGGGTCCATTTACAGATTCCCCCATATTTAATTTGAAATGAAAGAAGAATTCAAAAAGTATACTGATTGAGACCACAGGGTCTATTTTCCAAATTCCCTTCCAAAGGAACTCAAAATGGCCCCCTCATTGACCTCTTTCACAGAGCAGTTTAAAATGTTACAGTGCACCAAAGCACACGGAGAAGCATGGTTAAGGTTTTAAGAAATATGGAATGGAATAGGAATATGGCTTTTAACATAATTTGCAGAGTTCAGTGTAGTACTCTGTTGTATTGTTTAATTATGATTTTTAAATGACCAAATTGCTGTTGTGCTTTTTACATGTTTTATTAAGTTATTTATGCATGTATTTATTTGTTGGCATTGACTACATGCCTTTTCTGATGCTAGTTGCTCTGAGTACCCTATGGGGAGATGGGATAGGAAACAAATAAAGATGATGATGATGATGATTTTAGCACTAACTAAACCTCATGATCATCAGATTATTCTCTGAGATATCATTGCACATTATACAGCTTTTAAAAACATTTTTAGTAATAAGAGGGCCAAATAACCAAACAGTGCAATTATATATCAAATTATAATTTTATTTATAAAAGAGATCCAAGAAATTCAGAAGTAGGGAAAGTTGCTGTTATCACAGTGAGTGTGGATGATTACCTCTTTTCGTTCTAATGACAACAGTAATGGAAAAGAGGGGATAGTTCATATCTGTTGCTCCCAAACAACCCTGGATTTGTAAATCAATTAGGAACATTTGTAAATGGAACAGCTTGCCAGCTACCAGGATCCCTGTTTCAGATGATGTGGTAAGCAAACCACTTCTTGTTCGGAACTCATTCACAATTAAGCCATGCAAGCATGGAAAATAAGAACCTATTGCAAGTTGCTTTACAAACCAACTACATATAGGTTGGAAACAAACTGAATGAGATGAATGTTTAATTCCAAGCATTATACCATGACTAACCTAATTTGAATAGATGCATTCCAAATATCAATCTGGATCCAAGCAGTAATACACTGATTAAAAATGCGAAGGCCTGGGAAACAACTATCTTTTAGTCCCTGAAACATCCTCCCCCCCCCCCCCCCAAAGGGTGTGTGTGTTATGGAATATTTTCTCTCAAAATTATGAATTAAATAAAACCATGCAAGTATGCTTTTACGTAATACACCCTAAAGTCACCAGCTGATCTTGCAAGCTAAGCAGGGTTTGCCATGGTTAGTAGCTTTATGGAAAATCCCTCGACCGATTGTCAGCTTGTTGTGATGAAGGGGCTTGCATGTTCCAATGAATCTGTGGGCGTAACTATTGGAGTCATGTACTCCCAGGAGGGGGCGCAAGGGAGGATTTAGACCAAGAACCCCCTGAAGACCTCAACAGTGGAGCAGGTGGATGACAACATGGTACATGTTGCAATGGCTGTGAAGGTGGAAAAAGGTTGCAACAGTTGAGAAGCCACCGTCGTTCATGTTAACCATGCAACTGGATGGGACCCTCATTTTGTGAAGACTGTGTGTGGATTGACTGTGCTCTGACCTCCACTCCTAAAAAGCTCATGCATAGACATCTTCTAGGAAAAATAAACAAAACAAACTAAAGTCCATGGCGATCAGTGAGTGGTCCAAAGAAGAAACAGGGAACTCAAGAACATCTGGTAGACAAAAAAGGCTCAAGAAAGCCATACCTTAAAGATATCTATGATGCATGGTGATTTTTAACACCACAAAGGTCATCTATGAACCAAGAAATCATGGCATACGCCCTCTACGCTCATCAGATGGAACCAAACTTCTGAAGGATAAAAAAAATCTATTGCACAACATTGGACAGAGCACTACCACAGCCTCCTTAACCACAATTCCAACATGCTGCAACAACAAACCAGGGTGCGCTTGTAGCACTGCCTAGTTTGCAGGAAGTCAGCAAAGTCGTCAACCAACTAAAAAATAATGAAGCCGGTGGACCTAATGGGATCCCTGCTAAAATCTTTAAAGAGGGCGGACCTGAGGTGACACAACTACTCCACCAACTCATTTAAAAAGTGTGGGCAATTGAGAAAATCCAAGCAAACTTTAAAGATGCCACCATCATCACCTTTTCAAAAAGGGGGAAAGAACAGACTGTGAAAACTATCGAGGTATCCCTCTTCTAATCTCTGCTCGGAAAATCCTCGCAAGAATTCTTGCAAACCACATTCTACCTATTTCAGAAGATATCCTCCCAGAATGACTTCTGCCCCTCCAGAGGAACAGTGGATGTGACAGCTCCAAGAAAAATGCAGGGAACAGAAATCAACCTCTGTACATGGCATTTATTGACCTTGCAAAGGCATTTGACACAGTGAATCGCAGCGCTCTCTGGACCATCCTCCAAAAAATCAGATGCCCTGACAAATTTGTGAACCTCCTGCAGCTCCTCCATGATGGCAACAGTCTTGGACAGCAGTGACTCCCAAAGTGACTCATTTATGGTGGAATCAGGTGTCAAACAGGGATGTGTTATTGCCCCAACCTTATTTTCCATCTTCATCGCTATGATCCTTGTTGATAAGAAGCTTCCTACCAACGTGAAAATCATCTATCGGACAGATGGCGAACAATTTAACCTCAGCAGACTGAAAGCCAAAACCAAGCTCACATCTGTCATAGAATTCAAATATGCAGATGATAATGTAATTTGTGCTCTTTCAGAAGAAGACCTACTAGCCACTCTAAACACCTTTACAGAAGCATACAAAAAGCTTGGCCTCTTACTGAATATCGAGGAAAAACAAAGTGCTCTTTCAGCAGGCACCAGCCAATCTCTCTGCAATACCAGAAATACAGCTTAATGGTGTAATGTTAGAAAATGCTGACGATTTTGCTTCCTTGACAGCCACCTCTCCACATAAAAAAAATCAATATTGACACTGAAACACAACACTGTCTGAGCTCTGCGAGTGCATCATTTTCCGAATGAAGCAGAGAGTGTTTGAGCATTGGGACATTCATAGGGAGACCAAGATGCAGTCACAAACTTAGGCAGGACCCGAGCTGTTTAGGGCTTTATAGGTGATAACTAGAACTTTGAATTGGGACTGGAAGCTTACTGGCAGCCAGTGGAGCTGCTTTAGTAGGCACCGTGTGCTCCCTATAGCTGTCTCTGATTAGTAGCCTGGCTGCTGATCTTTAAAACCTTAAAAACTGTGGCATAGACACCAATAATTGGGAAGCCCTGGCCCCGTGCATTCTAACTAGAGGTCAGCTATGACCAACAGTGCTGTGGAATTCAAAGAGGCACAAATAGAGGGCGAAAGGGAGAAATGTGTCAAGAGAAAGGCACGTCAAGCCAAGTCTGACCGGGACTGCCTTCCACCTGAAAACCAATATCCTCACTGCGGAAAAACATGCAGATCAAGAATACATTTCCACAGTCACCTATGGACCCACTACCAAGGCACTACATTTGGAAGACAATCATACTTGGACACGAGTGATTGCTGATGATGATGACCAGGAGCTGTAGTTATATTCCAGAAGAAGAGATTCTTAAAATCCAGTCTCGAGTATTTCTTGTCTAAGAAAACTCTATGAAATTCATGAGGTTATTATAGGTCAACAAGCAATTTAAAACCCTACAGACACACAAGATTATATGCAGTAACTCACTGTGGTGACCCACAGACTTGTGCAATGAGTAAGCGACCCACTGCCTGCAGCACGTTTCCAGAATACGAAGAAACAGTTAAAGCCCACAAGAACAAATAACATACTAGTCCGTTCACAATGTGGGTGAGAAGGCAAGATCCTCCACATTAAATAGTCTGTTATTCCTGGCTCTAATTTCCTTTTCTCAGTTAATTTTATGTATTAGCTTGACACTATGGAGGACTAGAAGATAACATTTACAATTTCTGATGGCTTCTTCTATTCTCACAAAATGGCAAAACCAAAGAGGTTTATTACAGTTCAGATGCTCCTTACAGTCTAGGATGTTGAATTCAATTTGTAAGAATTTTTAAAAAGTAAATTCAATTTTAAAAAGTAAATTCAATTTACTATAGCAAGACTTAATATTCTTGAAGTAACAAAATGACTTTTCAATTTATAAAGAGTGCTTTGTTCAATTTTCCTATCCCTCACCCCACTGCACCAAAAAAACAAACAAACCAAAAACATACCTTCTCCCCCATCGTTTCAAAGCTTCTGGAAATTTTACATCTCTAGTGTTGATTGATTGACATTCCACTTTTCTCCCTAACATGGGTTTACAGTAAAACTGAGTAACATGTAATTTAAATTTAAAAGAAGTACAAGCATAAAAGACTAAAGTCAATCTAATTTACTGAAGATGAGCAGCATTTATCCTGGATTTAGGAGCACACAGAGTCACATAATATACGTTTGCTTGGTCTAAACATTCATATTGGAATCCTATACCCATGTACTTAGAAGCTCTACAGAGTTCAGTCAGGCTTGTCCTCAGATAAAGGCTACAGCAGGGATGGGAGAAACTTGTGTCCCTCCAGATGGTCTTGGACTGCCACACCTGTCATGCATCACTGCTGGCTCTGGTGGCCAAGGCTGATGACAGATATCTATAATAGCGTGTGGAGATCATACATTGCCTCCTACACCTTGAGTTTCACATAACAACTTGACTATTTCTGAAGGAAGCTGTAAGCAAATATTACAAAATACAACTTCGGACTACCTTTGGAGTATTTCTAAGATCCAATATTCAGAAAGCCATAAAAACCTGCTGACAAATCTCATATGATATATAATGCCACCAAAATGTAGATTGGTCAAAACAGAGAGGTCTAGTAATTATAGTAAAGGGAAGCAATGCCTGGGGTTGGACATCTGTCCTCTGTTGGATTTCAGGGTCACATCCCCGCCTTTCTACATAGTAACAAACCTTCTCATTTTTAACTAAAAGTAATTTCCACACCCCAAAGGCATATAGTGGGCAATTTTGTCATGTTTTTTGATCCCCTGAGCTATTCCAGGCATAGTAATGTTATTCTCAGGGGAATTACTTGGTTTCATTGCGTAATAGTCACATTTTATCTCCCTTTTGGGGCGAAAGGGTGTGTGTGTGGATGGGTGAAGGCTTACTCGCCCGGTTGCTCTTCCCTCTGAGCTCTAGAAGGCTGCCTTGACCAAGAGAACTCTTCATAGCTCAGAGGGAAGAGGCAATTAGGCTGATGTTGCACCATGAACTAAGGGTGCAACTCTTATGTGATGGATCATTAAAAAAAAACAAAACAAGAACCCACAAGGGGGCGTGTGACTCTTATGCAAAGGCAATTATTGTGAAATGCGGCATATGGCACACCAGGAATGGAAATTGTGTGTGTGGCACATTAGTTGTAGTTCAACTGCAATTCCTAGCATTCTGCACCACTGGTTATGCTGGTCAGGACTTCTTGGATCATTGATCCACAAACATTTGAAGGGCCACACAATTCCTTCCAATCTGATCTAGAATTATTAGCTGCAGTCAGGGTTATTTAATCTCTACACAGAGTATCAACCTTTAAGAAAAATGATATACAGATGATATTTTAAAATATGTATGGCTGGAATAACACTTCATTACTGAATATGTTATGGCTTTGATCCAGACTATTTGAAAGACTGTATCTTCCTACATAAGCCCATTACAGCTTGAAGGTATTTCGGAAAGGCCCATCTCTCTGTCCCATCATCTTCTTGGGTATGCTTAGTGTAGAGGTGTTAAACTTGTGGTTCTCCAAATGTTTGTTCCTCCAACTCCTAGACAGTTTGTCCTAATAGCCAGGAAATTCTGGGAGCTGAAGTCTAAAGCACTTGAAGGGTCACAGGTTGACACCACTTAGTGGGAACAAGAAAAAGGGCCTTTCTTGTTCAAAGGTTGCTCACAGACGTTGAAACTGTATAGGGAGGCTAGGATGGCTCCCTTCTTGCTTTCCTTCTGTCAGAAAATAAACAAATCTGTTTACATAAGCTTTTAGGTATTAATCGTGGTGTGTTTTTAATTGTGTGTTCTGCTACTGAATTGAATATGTCTGAAAAATATAGTAAAAAAAACCCCAATCCCAAAACCTTAGGCTGACTTATCCATGTCAACGTATCACCAGAGATACCAGGTACTTATGAAAACAGTCCCTAGATTTTAGATGGCTCCCAGAATTTCTTTGCAAAAAGAAATATTTTGCAAAAAATATAAATATATGGTCACCTAGTTATATAGAAGCTTTAAACACTTCAGTAAAGAAAGGAAAAGGAAGAAAGGAAAAGATTCATGATTTTCCTGCTATCAAGTTTTCACCCTAACTTAATGAGACGAAGTCAATGTTTTTCTAGATTTTTCAGGTGGACAATATTTTCTCCACCCCATTCAAAAACAATCACAACACAGTATCTACCATTTAACTAACAGTAATGATAAGGAAACTAGCAATTTAACAAATATGTAGTCTGTCCAAAGATTTCCCAGTGACAGCACTATTACAATGAAAATAAATAGCACGAGAACATGGCAGAGGAGGACTTCCTAGAGGACTAAATGAATGAGGTTGCTTTTTTGCTAGACAATCACACAGGGAAGAAGCATGTCCTTTGGGAAAAAATGGGGAAGGGAAGCAAAGGTCAAGAAAAGGTGAAAAAGCGAGGAAGCCACTACTGATTGCTCTACTCCTGCTAATTAACAGCTAACTTACATGGTGGATTGTTAATTGCAAACGGAACTACTGGAGTTAGGACAGGCTCCGACTGAGCACGATCCAACTCCACTGTTTGCCCTGGGCTTTCCCAGGCAAGAAGTTTCTCTTCACAAGATTGTGTAGTAGTAGCTGCAAAACAAATGCAAGCATTAAAATAAAAATTAAATCAAAAAGCAAAACAAGGACTGCACTAAACACACAGGCACACAGTCAATCTCAGAGCACACACCAATTCCAGACAGAGCATATTTGATGGGGTTTCTGTATGCACTTCTACAAGGCACACCAAATGGAGTAAACATCCCAGAAAGAAAGAAATCCCCGTCCTTTTAAAAGTAGTAACCAAGAAATATAGTGTGCTTGGAAGACAGAGGAATATCCTACAATCAGAGGCGCACCAGATAAAGCACCATATATATGGTATGCCGACTCCAAACATGTAGGGTTTCTACCTTAGTTAATACACCGAATATATGGTTCTACATTATAAACACTTCAAAATGTGTTGGAAATTACTGTAGATACCCGAATATCAGCCTAATTTTCAGCCCTTTTTTTAGGCTGAAGAAGCCCTCCTTGGCTTATACTCAAGTCAAGGCTATTTATTATTTAACTCTGTTGTTGCTGTTGCTGTTATTATTATTATTGTTATTATTTTATTGTATTTATTATTTTATTCTATTATTATTACATTTATTTTTATGTCTATTATTATTACATTTATTATTTTACTCTATTCTTATTACATTTATTATTTTACATAATTATTACTGTTATTTTTACATTTCCATTATTTCACTCTATTCTTATTATTTTTATTACATTTATTATTTTACTCTATTATTATTGGAAGGATACGTAAGCACATTTACATGGAAGGTGGTCAGAATAATGGTTTAATCAGAGTTGGACAGTCGTATCTTAAGTTACATTTTTTATGTAAATATTCAAAAACATTTAACCTACTGATGCCTCAATTAATGTAATTTTATTGGTATCTATTTTTATTTTTGAAATTTATCAGTAGCTGCTGCATTTCCCACCCTCAGTTTATACTCGAGTCAATATGTTTTCCCAGTTTTTTGTGGTAAAATGAGGTGCATCAGCTTATATTCAAGTATACACAAATATCTCATTTCAACAATTAACGTTTAGTTAAGACAATGTTAGACCTCCCCCATGTATTTGCTCACCAAATCAGTATGTTTTGAGAGGCAAGAGGGATAAAGAGTTCTGTGAAATAGTTTGAAGGCATCTGATTCTGTAAGTTTGCTAAAGTTCTACTGGTCTGCTCATCACCTGGATGGATAATTCCTCTATATACTTGTGTTACAAGGATAGGGAAATGGACTGACTGTAGAAACTGGGCCGCATACTGTCCTGGAACTGACTCAACAGGGTCTCAAACCAAAGTCCCTCTCTTACCATTTAACTGCACCCTGTCATTTTTTTTTTTCATTTTTCATGCAGAAAGGGGCACAGAGTTCTTTTCCTTTTTTTGGAGGGAAAATGCCCCTACTGTTTACAATATCAAAACAGGGATTGTCCCTGCCTTATTCACATTTCCCATTGGCAACATGAGTGTGACCTTCTGCGAATGATCTGCTATCTCAAATTAGAGACCAAAGGATCTCTGCATGTGTTCTCAATGGAACACAACTGGTGGGATTAGAAAGGGAAGTCCCACTGTTATATCTGGTATAAGATTAGAGATAAGGGAGAACTCTTCTTTCTCAAGGATGGGAAATTAATTTTCACCTCTGCAGGGTGACAATTTGTGAATCATGTGCCAAACCCAGCAAAAAACACCCCTCCCAAATTATTAGAAGTCTACTTCCAGTTTTCAGCTTTGCACCCAATTTTCAGGGTTTTGAGAAAACCTTTGGGGTGGGTGGTACTACCACTCCAGGCAGAATTTTGGGGGCACAGCAGTGAGTTTTAATTTTTAAAAAAATATTCAACTGAGAATGCTTTGGGAATCACAAAAGATGTTTGGGATTGCATGTGGTCCACAGGCTGAACTTCCCTTACTTGTGCCTTACCCACAGGTTACCTTCCAAATTGGAAGACCAGGTGTGCAAGAACAGATATTGAGGAGGGTGCACTGAATTAGGTTAGGTGCATGGAGAGGACATTTTCTTCCTCTGCTCGATCTACCCATGTACCATTGAATTGCAATGCATGTATATAACACTAGTGAGTATGTATGTTAAGTTATAATATACGGCTCTTCTCTAACTGTTGGGCCAACTTCTTCCAAATTCTTTACAGGTTCCATCACATGCTTTCCCTTGAGATCCCAATAAGAAAGATGAAAGATGAAATAGAGGCAGAAGATGAGAGCCCTAAATGAACATTCCTCGGCATATCCCACTTAATCACTGGAAGATTCATGCAACTTCTATCCTTTATCAATGCAAATCAATTTTAAGGACAAGTGAAAAACATCTCTCTTAGACACTAGATTAAGCAGTGTGCCCTGTACAGCACCCTGTCATAACTTTTATCCTATCCAGGGCCTCTGGGAGAAATTTTGAAAAATGAAACAAGACTACTTTTGGGCCTCAGGGAGCAGGGGGCTCCTATCAAAATTGATGATTTAGAAGTCCAAATGAGGGCTTACAATAAGGGGCCTTCCTGGTTACAAAGTCAATATGAGCGATGATCAACAACCAGAATTCAGAAGTCTATGTGAATACACCCCATTTTCACAGGGTGAAATGATGTTTGTTTCATAGGAAAAATAGATATGTTCTAGTAAAAAGCCAATAATACCCACAAATCTTAGGAAAAATATTCAAAATTCTTCATTATTCCTCTTTGCTTTGTTTCTAAGGACTGGGGCCTTACTTGAGCAAAGTTAATTTGGGAGCTGTACATGGACCTAAATAAAAAAAAAAAAACCTTAGAGCTATGCATATATGGTATCCAGGACCTGAGCAAACAACAGATAAGAATTTGAATGGACTGCTGAAAGCAGACGGGAAACAGTGGTGCTTTTTCATAACTAAAATGATACAAATAACCTATTTCAACTGAGATCTAATGGATAACCAGCTCATACAGAGGCAATTTCAAATATTATACTTTGCCTATGGAGCACACATACTGGGGAAAATCTGAAATTTGTATATGAATCTGAAACTGACCACTGTCTATTCTCTTCCATGTGCAAGAGCTAAGAGAGAGGCAATTTGCCAATTTGCCAATCTCGCAATAAAAAATCTGTAATTCCCATAACCCTGAGGACCTGGCCATGCTGGCCCAGATTAACGAGAGCTCATAGTTAAAAAATACCAGGCATATACTAGTGGTCTACATCATCAAGGCTTCCTTGTTCAATTGTATGGAATGCAAAAAGAACACATATTCGATCACCTCTAATAATATTCTACACTTCGTTTCATGCCTGTCCATAAAAAAGAAACAAAGGCTAACCGGCCACAATCTGACAAACATTTCAGCATGATCTTCATGGCTATTGTAGACTTCAGTTTACTAGTAAATATCTCTGAACAGGTCCCAAATCATGCCTTTTGTCTTACAAAACCATGCATTTATGGAAAAACAAAGTGGACTATCTGAGTATACATATCAATAGCCATATGTCCAAGCAAGGAAAAACTGGTAACTTGGAAAGGAAAACAGGGAATGAAAATCAGCCAAATAATTGTTTCATTTTATTGATAGGGTGAAGTGAAAAGGAATAGGAATCTCTCTGGAAAGTGTTACATGGGCAGGGATGGTTCTGGGAAAGAAGATGAACCGAATTAAAAGACTGGAGTTCTGGAGATGAGAATCAATATTCTGAAAGAATATTGCAGGAATAGAGAGATACAGAGAAATGGGAAGTGAGGAGAAGTAGGAAGAGTGAGAGTGAGTCAAGGCAGGGAAAGGATGCTGTAACCCCTGGACTTACTGGCTGAATAACACAGAGAAAGCTGGGACTGCATGGACTCAGTCTGGGTTTTGCTCTCACAGTGACTCCGTCCTTCGAGCACTGAACTGCCATCCCCGATGGAGAGAGGGGGCGCTTGCATTGCAAAGAATTAAAATAATATACACAAAACACACACACACACAAAAACAAAAGCAAAAACAATGTACATTCAGTAAAAAAAGAGAATGGAACAAGACATCAAAGCAACTGTAAGGCTCTGTACAAAGGTTTTGTAGTGGGTACTGTATATACTGAGAGTGGAGCTTCCCAGCACCTCCTCTTGAAGCTGACATCAAAGCAACAAAGTGTGAGGGCCTGAAACATTGACCCTACTGACCTGCATCTAGTCAACAGTGAAGAATTCATGAGTGTGAGGGTCTCCAGCAGCTCATCTATTAAATACACATTCATAATAATAATGGATACAGGGCTTAAGCTCCAGTAGATGACTGGACTGCCAAAGAGTATTCTGGGAAATTGTACCTTCACATGTGTAAGAGGACATGACAGGGAAATCATTCCCTCAGTAGCTACTATAGCTATATCATTTTCAAGCAAACACTGCTTTTTCATGTAAAAATAACACAACTAGCAGTTAGGCCAATGACTTTTCTATGCCCTGCACAGAAAATGAAAAATTAAACTTCATGATGTTTGAAGTGTTTCTTTTGCAAGCCTGGACTGACATGTGTGGATATGAACTTTGGAAATGGCCTTGAATGGCTCAAACCACCAGCTCAGCTAATTCAGTACTATCTATTACTGTGGTTGGCACTAATTCTCCAAGATAGGAACAGGCGACGTTCCTCCCAAAACCTATTACCAGAAATCTTTTTAACAGGACATGCAAGGATTTTGTGCACGTGCTTGACCTCTGAGCAATGGACACTCACCTCGGAGCTCTCTCTTTCCACCACTTCTCACTAAACATATTCCTTTTCTGTAAAAGCTCAAATCTCCATTCAAAAATAAAGCAGGCATAGTGGGGAAGTGTTTTCAAGTAAGCAAAACAGCTAAGGCTCTTACCTCAAATGTTTAGTTATTCTATTGTCACACCCGTGATCAACCCTATCATTAGACAGAGGGAAACAACTGCCTCAGCTGGCAGGCACTGGGTGATGTGGAATGATCATCAGCAGCAATTCTCCTTTGCTGGAGGACAATGTGGCATTGCACCATCTCTCCCACAAGCTTCAGATGATGTGACAAATGATGATGCTCTACTACTGGTGTTGAAGTAAGATTCTCATGCCAGTCTAATGATCTCTTGTACAGATCTTGGAATGTTGCCTACTAAGTGTCACTTTAAAAGTAACACATTACTAATATTTTAGTTTAACTCCTTAAAAAACCCTTTAAAGGTAGGGCCCCAAGACAAGCAGTTGGAAAATAACAAGTAGACACTGTTACATTAAAAATAATGAAGATACCAGTTGTCAGATTATTTTGCAAATTCACTTCATTAACCCCGCCCCAGTAACGCACTACAAGTAATATTTGCTTGTAACATGCTACTTCTAATTTCTGCTTCTGTATAAGGAATGGGGGATACCATTATTTCTTTCACACCAGGCAGGAAAAAAAAATCCTGGACCAACCTTGCTTATAGTTTCCAATTTCTTCAAGCAAAGTAGAAGGACTCAAGGGCTGGCTCTGGAACAGCAAGATCTGTGAGGATGGGCAGGAACTAGTTTTGCTGGAGGGTCTTTCCACCAAAGAATGAGAAGTAGCAGATCTAAATCCCTTCTTCCAAAAAGAGACTGCTACTATGTGCCCTTTGCAGAAACTGCTAATCTATTTCCCCTCTATGTTTAGAAATGAGGGTGGAGAGGCTGAATACAGACTAAGGAGGTCCACTTATTTACCAATACACTTCTGTGATTCCTATCCATCTGAGACAAAGAAACACTTCACATTTTCGGAGCATTCTTTTGATAGGACAGTTTTATGCCAAATATTGGAAAACTTCTCTAAAATGAGATGAAAATGTTTCGAACACCTTAAGCAACTCAACAGAACCCAGAGGAAACAGACTTCTTGCTGCCAACCTTAGATTTGTTATACCATTATATGCAATTAAAAGAGTATTACGGGTTTCACGAATATGTTCACCTAACCTAAAGAAGGAAGTGTTGATGGAGTCCTGACTACTTAGGAGATATGAATGGGAGCAATTCTTGTAACTAGGGAAGCTGAACAGGATTATATCTCCAGTCAGGTTGGATGGAGAAAGCTCTGTGGCACTCTCCCTCTTCTCAAACCTCCCTCTTCACAGCTGCCAGGCGAGGAGGTGAAGCTTCAAAGCAAAAAGTTCTTGGGCAAATACCATACCCCTACTGAGAGAACACTCTCCTCTTAATAGCAAAGAACCTCCTTGCTTTACACATGCAGGCCGTTTATGTTTGGGTGCAATAGATGCAATCGTTAGTATATTGAAAGCAATGAAAGTTGATTTTTCCTCTTTGCTTTTACATGTTGATCCAAGATATGAAAGAGTTCAAAGGCAATCTGTATTTTTTGTGTTTCTGCCAGGAGCATAAACGTAGCAGCTTTTTTATCTTCAAAACTGCTAAAATTAGATGAATTCTAAAAATTCATGTAAATCTAGAAAATTTGGGACAGGTAAAACCGGGCAGAGTTAAACGTGCCTTGCTGATATACCTGCAAGTCCAGGAGACAGCCATTTTCTTACTACAACCGGTAGCCTAATACCACTTATTCCAGCAATTGGGAATATAGTACAAATCAATCCAAATCAACAGGTAAGGAACTTGGCACAGGAACTGTTCTCTTTGTCCCAGTGGTTCTAAAATCCCTGGTTGCTTTCTACTGAGGCACCTACCCTTCAGGTCCTCATCTTCAGTGGTGGTATTACAGCTTTCAGTGGAACCCTGCAAGGCAAAATGTTTGTAGATGGAAACATCATCACAAACAAATAAAGCAGACATGTTCAAGAGAAACAGTAGGGGGGAAATGGATAAAAACGGGTGAAACAAGAGAACAAAATAAAATAACAGACTGCAATCACTCACATATGAGTAGTTTTTCAGATCATCTTGCAATTAGGATTTTTCCTTGAAACTTCCCATAGATGAAATTCTGCTACTTGTCTCCTCTTAGGGAGAACTGTAAGGAGCATCTTGAACTTACATTTGCTAAGCAGCAACAGTATCTTTTGTGGCTGTAGTACAGTGGTTCCCAACCACTGTACACCAATGGTCCCCAAGAACTAAAATATGGTCTGCGGCCTCACAATTGCTACACCAATGCAACGAGAGCAACTGGTCTCACAAAATCCTCTTATAGTGACGAGGCAATGGGGATGTTGGGAGGAGAGAGGCTGACTACCCACAAAAGACGTGACAACAAGTCTCCTGACTGCTGCTTCCCCTCCTCCTCCCTCTCCCCCCCTTGAAGCAAAGTTGTTTCATGTGGTGCCTGGAAGCAGGGACGCCTTGGCGTCTTTGTTTTTAGGCCTGTTTCTGGGGTTATTTGGGGTGCTGATTCATAAAATTGCATTGGATAGACCACTTCAGCTCTAGAGTATTAAATATGGTTTTCTGTGGGCCAGCAAATGGCAACTACTGGATGGCGTATGTTCTGTATCAGAAACTAGAGCTGATGTGGTCTAGCCAATGCGATTTTCTGAATCAGCGCCCCAAATAACCAAATCAAATCTAAAGTTGACCAAAAACTGATTCATAACCCTTTTGGTACTAATGTTGGAGAGTGGTCCCTGACCAAAGTGGTCCCTGGTCAAAAAAAGGTTGGAAACCACTGCTGTAGTGGAATGTCTCTTTCCTTATGAATTTTTCTGAGCTCTGATATGTGCTATGGAAATTTTGTTCCAGAAGCAGTTTTTAAAATAAGGTAAAATCTACCTGTACGTGAATGAGTATTTTTTCTGCAGTAGCAGCATAACTATGGAAGAGTACACTTTCTGATCGCCTAACTCTTTACAGTATCTCTCAGTTATTGTCCACTTATCAGTCATTATTTTCAGTCATCCATAATAAACAAGTCCTCGCAAGACCAGTTACCCAAACTCAGTAGTGTTAAGCCTGCAACCAGATAACTCAACATCCTAATCTAATTCCATAACATTTTTCCCTGTCTAAGCACCAATCTTTCTGAATTTATTGCTTCCTGCTCCTGAAACTAATTTTTTTAAATAATCTGTGTAACTGTTGGTCTTTGCATGTTCATTCACTCTGATACATTTGATGAACTGTGGCAGAAAGTGTGGGGCAAGGAAGTCCAGCATCATGTTATGGACAGCGTATTTTTTCTTTTTAAAAGATATACTTTTCCAATAAAAAAATTATGTGAAAGAGATTGCAAGGTACAATGACATAAAGTCCCTAAATAAATATGTGGATGCCAGTGGAGAGGAACAAAGGAAACAGTGCAATTACACACTGTAAGGAGCCATCCACATAACTCAATACTTGGTTCTTATGCTGTTGTAGTAGAACAATTCGTTGTGTTTCCCCCCTCTCCTTGCATCTACCTCTCCTGACTGCTAGCTGCAAGGGAGGGCGAAACACGTAACATGAATGAGTTGTCAGAAGGAGTACCTTCTGTTGTACGTACAAAAAAACAGTCAGCACATAGCCGCCCTTGGAAGCAACAACCTCCCCCCATAATAAGAAATCCCACCCTAAGATTTCAGTCAACAGCAATAACAAATACTCTAAATGAATAATAAATGCTACAAAATAAATGAAGTAGAAGCTTTTGTGCCAGAAATCTGTTAAGTAGAAAAAAGGCGGGGACAGAACATGGAATTCAGGACAAGCCCCTCACCATTTCTTCTGTGCCTTGGGACACAACCAACACACAGTCTGAATGCACTCTAAGACCAAGTTAAGGGAAGAAATATAAAAGGATGGTTGAGATTACAAAGGCCCATTGCGAGCCTCATCTTACCTTTATGCCATCATTGGCATTGTGGACAACAGTAGTTTGTGGTTCCTAATTGAAAGAGGACAGAAATAAAGAATCAGATTCCGGGTCCAAAGCTTTCCTCTCTCTGCGCAGTGTCTGTTGGGAGAGCAAAGTGACAAACAAGAACAAAGCACAAACACTTCTATCCTAGGGTGGTGTGAGCTCGCACACACCCCTCTCCCTTGCAGGAGTAAAACCTGCAACATCTTAAATCACATGGAGACAAAGCCACAATGTTTTTCAGATATCCCAATTCACCTTGCAAACTCTTACTGGCATGAGTTTACAAGAATACTCAGGAAAAAGCCTGTGTAAATTCTTACAAGAAATGAAGATAGTGCTTGCTTATTGGGAGGATAGAGAGTTTATATAATCTAAAAAAACAACAACATTATTTTTAAAGCCCTACATAAAGCTTTCACTCACAGCTAAGAGATTTGAAGTAGGGCTTTGTCTCCATGTCTCCCCACACAATTTTCTGGTATTATTTCTCTCTCTAATGGGACATTCATAATTTCCTCACAGAATTGTCAGCCAAAGCACCCCAGTTCTTCCTAGCAATATCCTGTATTTATTTCAAATAGTCTTCAAAATTATATATTTTCAGTAAAATGAGTGGAGAGATCAGATATTGCAAGCAGCATTGAGACTTGTGGTTTTAAAAGCCAGTGCATGATTGGGTGCAATGTTTATGATAGAAGAGTCAAATTATGAAGTATCCCAAGAAGAAACAAAAACTTCAAAGCTTTATAGGGAGTAAAAAGCAACTATACAGCCTCAGAGCCCCACTAAGCTCTTGCACTCATTCCTGGATAATTATGGAGATGGCTCACTCTTACCCAGTTTCATTCCCACCCTAGGTCCTGCAGCAGCAGAGGCTGCTGAAGAAACATGGTAATGCCATAATACTTAAGTATTCTTTCATTTGTCACCCATACAGATGATGCCCAGTCTTTATCCAAGACAAGAGAGAGGACACTCAGGAATGTGCAGTCTGCTGCAAGAGTCTTAGTGGGGAACAGTGAAAAACCCAGGGCAAATAAGACAACAAAAGAGGTTTCCATTCATTTATTCTCTGGAGACTGGATGGTGTTGGCCACTCCATCGCATCCTCCTCAAGAGAAAAAAATCAAGCACACCCACCATGAGAGCTATTGGACAAGCTGCACGCCCCACATACAGACACCATTGCGCTTTGCACCTCTTACTTGCGTGGGGGCCGGGACATTCTTGGGGGGAAGGGACGGCAGACAGAACTAAGCCAAAACACAGAGCAGCACAGGCAGCATTCTGGGCAAGGGAAGAACCAAAAGTAAAAACCAAACAAGGACAAAGAAATGGTTGGGAAAGATACCATGGACATCTGCACTGGGGGCGTTTCTTTTGCTGGGCTTACTATACTGGCTTTGTTGTTGGTCTGTGGCTAAGACAGAAAAACAGATGGTTTAGTTTCCCCTTGCCCTCCTGGGCAACAGTCATAAAAACATTGCATTACTATTGCTGCAAATTCACATATCAGCTCCGTCTCTTCCCAAAATAACTGCTGTGAGAAAAGGGAGATGATGAAGGAGGAGGAGAAGGAAGAGAAAATGTGAAGACTGATTTGCCATCTTCCATGGCAAAGATATATCCAGATGTTCATGGAAGATTAAACAGGGTTAGCAACAGGAAGGAAATGGGAAAACATAGTTGCTTCGTCTGGCAGGAGAATTGTAACCTATCTCACTGATGAATGGAAGAATCAAGAGAAGGCAAGATGAAAAGCAATATGTTGGGTAGAATAAGCTAGTGGTTGGTCATATTCAGAGATCTGGAGAGCCAAGCTGAATGAAAACATATACTCATGGTTAACTCCAAAGTGAGCTGATCATCCTATATGTACCACGACTCTTCTGTGGTTCCGTTTACATTTGACATTGAATACATACTTATGCTGAGACGGACTTAGCTCGATAAAATATTCTGTTTTTTTTTAACTTCTGGATCTAACACTCTAAATAGCAACATTGGTGGGCAAGTTCAGGCATGTTTTCATAGATTGAAAGGCTGCCCATTTATTTCTAATGGAGAAACATAATTCAGGTAAGGCAAACATGTTCCTATTGGGGTCCAGATGTGCATTTTACCAAAAGCAGTTTCTCCTTATGATTCCGCTTTAAACTGTGAACAGAGCTTATAAAAACCATCCCAAATGGCTATGGAGCACATTCAGAAGTTAACATTACTAACTTGGAATTGGTGTGTATGTGACCAATAAGCTGAAATGTATTTAGCCTGCAGTTTTTACTGTGGGCCATTTAGAAAATTGAAAGGGAACATATGGAAGTTGCCTGCTTATGCTTAATGTCACCCCAGAGTTTGGCCGGGAAGCTCACAGTGTCATTCCACGCTGAAGTTAAGAAATTCTGCCAGGCTCCCTGAAAACCTAAAAAAACACAACACTCTGAGCTCTTCAGAAAAATCACAACAAATAAATCTGAGTCCTCTCAAGAAAGTGTGATAATACCACCCTACCCCTATGAAATAAAAATAAAAATATGGGAACAAATTCCATCAATCTTCCTCAGCTATACAAAGTTTTTGTCCAGCCACTCCCTTGCTCCTACTACCATATATACTCATGTATAAGTCAATATCTTGTATAAATCAAGGGACATTCTGCAGTGAGGGGAAATGCTCCCTTGGGGAACAAGGCACCCTTGACCACTGCCACTATTTCCCACCCAGGCATTCAAAAAAGCACCATGGCAGAGAGAAAAGAAGGGGTCGGTGTTTATTTCAGATTCTTCTGGGAAGGATGAAGCTCTTGCCTTTCACCACTCTCCTCAGGGAACGCGATGGTTCTTATTTGATAGGAGTAAAGATACAGTGTTTTCACTGACCTGTGAATAAGTCAACCCAGGTTTTTGGGATTTATTTTGGACTAAAATTTCTAGACTTATAAATGAATATAGGATACTTCTGTATGTAAACACTACAGTACAAATCTACAAAGTGCTTCACCACAGAAATGACAGCCAATGAATAATGTCATTTCTCAGCTGTTAAAAAGATACAGTAACAATAATATGTAAGGGAAGCAGATACATTCTGACATTAGCAGGGAGAGGTCAATAAAATTCATTCATCAGTGTTAAGGCCACTTTTGTGATGTTGGACTAGCTACTACAGTTTTGTTATATAGCAGCAAAGAGAGCACACCAAGAACTTTAAGATCCATGTCAGAATCACTTCTTAAAGAAAGTAATTTGCCTTTCACATTGATGCTTGTTTGGAGTTACATTTGGGGTATGCTTGTTAAAGACTTCATAATGTTCAGGTAGTTGCAGGTAGACCTCAAAGCTGAAGCCTGATGTGAAGTGAAATTTCATGATCTCATGACAAACAAGGTATTAGAAAAACCTGAAAGTTTTTGATATTTTACACCTATTAAAACTACCCCCCCCCCCCACACACACACAAAATCAGTTTCTCTCACAATACATGATACATGATCCGGTCAAGCAAGAGGCTCCTAAACAGGACAGAATATTGTGCTGTCAGAACTCCATCACTTTTACATTTCTTAATCAGAGCTGAAATACACCTTACATTAATCACATGTGAAGTAACCTTAATAATCTTCACAAGAGACAGACAGACCAAGCTAGGAAGAATTATGGAACAGCTTCTTCCACCTAAGTCTCATTTCCTTATGGGGAATGCAAGAAAAAATAGGCACAATGAAATCATAAAGAAAAATCAAAATAGAGGGATAGCATACAGCCTCTCCAGCCTTGTTTCCAGGTGGACCTTCAGAATGTCTAATTGTCAGAGCCTGGCTTACATCTGGATGTAGCAACAAGACTCAGTTCTTGAAAAGGGTAGGGGTTGAATACCTTTATAATGTCTACCAAAAAAATAATAATTAAGGATCTTCTTGTTGCCCGTAGCTTTCCAAAACTCCATTTGAGATCAGCTCAACAGAAACTTTGATATAAGACACAACCCTACTCTACTTGGCCTTATACCCTGTTGCTTATCTGACCCCCTATGTAGCTGCACTTTACTTTCTCCGCCTGTCAACACAAAATAAATGAGACCACAAAATGAAGTTAATTAAAAACCTGACAACCATGTAAATAACAGAACTGAAATTATTTTGTGTAGATAGCTATGCGTGTATCCATTCTTTCCTATGTTAGTAATTTAACATTTGTATTGGAAATAAACTATGGACCATGTAAGCTTATATTCTGCACAGAAACCACCAGAGTCTGAACAATCAAGGAGGGGGCTTGTTGGCTGGCATGAAGGCAGATATGGCCAATCAACATTTCTCTATCACCATACTCCAATTTACTGTGGCCTTTCCTACACTGCCATATAAAATCCAGAATATCTGCTTTGAACTAGATTATATGGCATATAATCATAATCACCACAACTTTATTTTTGAACCCCGCCTCCATCTCCCCGAAGGGACTTGGAGCGGCTTACATATGGCACAAAATGCCTAAAACAATACATAAAATAAAATAAACACACAATACAATACAAAATAAGCCAGTAGTATATAAAAAACAATTTGACTCAAAATGGCACCCAATAACCTATAGTGTTGAGTGTCATAAAAACACAATCAATTGTAAAAAAAAGAAGAAGGAACATGGGTATGGGATAAAAGTGCTGTGCTGTATCATAATCCAGTTTAGAGTAGATAACGTGGATTATCTGCTTTGATAATCTGGATTATAAGGCAGTGTAGAAGAAGCCTAAGTAACTTCCATTTTCTCATTAATTTTCTTAACAAACAAGTCTGCACAAGAAGTTAGCTGGCAAAACTGCCGAACCGTTCCAAAAAATCAGAGCAATTTAGCAAGGTGCATACTGTATTTTTTTTATTGAGAATTAACAGCAAGGTCTTATACATGAAGGGTGCAAATGCAGATGGTATGAATGGGGCACTGAGTCCCTCTTTTTCTATACTGACTGGTGACCACTGCATCCCTTTCTCACTGAGGTGCCAAAGCTGCATTCTAGCAATATCACTTTTTGCTAGTTGGGACTAACATGCAAAACGATTTCCCTTGAAGTTTCTAGAGGAAGCCTTTTTTGTCTATTTCTTTAATACTATGCTATCTCATGGACTAATGCTTGAAGTCAAACTACTGTACAGTCCAAGTGCAGAGCTGTGTAATGCAGTCCCATCCAAGCACAAGGCAGGCCTTTTCTTGTGAAGCCTTCCTGTTTGTCTGGGAGACTAAAACGATCCAATTACATCAGGTGAGAAGAGTAACTGAAGCATCGATTCTAGGGGGAACATGCCATTACTTTATCCATGTGGCTGAATTACAAATTTTCACTGCCTGCATATGAACTGCCCAACAAGTGGCTTCCACACACAACTGGGAGATCTTCTAAAGTATGAGTGGGCAACTTATGACCTTCTAGATGTCTTTGCCCTCTTCCATCAACCTGGACCACTGGCAATGCTTATAACATCTGATACAGTCCAAAAACACCTGGAGGACTATAAATTATCTAATGCTCATCCAATATTTATCTGTCTACTGACCTCACCAAAAACATGAAGGACCAAAGAAAGATGCTTTAGAATGAACTAACCTGTCTTTCACAAAGACACAGCCCAACAATTAGGTTTCATCATAGTGTCTAAAACTTTAGACTTCCTCCTTTGACCTACCAGATATAACAGGCCTAAAACCAATTAATGATTAGTGACAACTAGAGTTTAATAAATAAATCAGTTTATTTATTTGAATGTTGACTTACCATCTAGCAAGTGATTAAACTTAATCAATATGAATTGGCAATTAGATTTAGGCTTTGAACTCCCAGAATCCCTGACGACTGCCAATCCTGGCTGGAATTTCTGGGAGTTAAAGTATAAAACAGCTGGACATACAAACTTGAGAACCACTGGCCTGAAAACAAATTAACGCTATGAACATTTAAATCCAAGTCAATATAGCTCTGGTGAACAAATATGAGGTAGTACAAAACTATCCAATAAAACTGTATATATGGACCTAGGTTGGAAAAATATAAATTCAATGTATATGGCAATTTATCTCATTTCAGATTCCATCAGTGAAGTGGGTTTTGGAAATCACATAAGGTGTGCCAAAGTTAATTAGTATACAGATTTGAACTTAATTGCGAAACAGGATAATGATGAGAAGAAACATGGAAATCTAAGGTCAGTAGGTACTAGGAGGTATTTTGTTGGTCTGGCAATTAAAATTAAATGCTTGATTAAAATACCAAGAACATACATTCTTCTGTGTTATCACCATTGAGGAAACCAGGCACAACACAGCATATTCAATGGTCACAGACAAAGAAGCGTTCTTGCTGCCCCATTGCTTTCAACTAGAGGGAAAATCTAAATCTAGTGATTTGATAGCAGAGTTATGATAA